CCATGTATACATTGGCATGCACTTAAAAGATCCTGTGGCAGTTGGAATTTGATATAAGAGTAGGCTGCAGCGCTGATACCTTGAATATATGCAGTTTAAAAGTAAACAAAAACTGAAAGTAGTTTATTAATCTCAATATTTAGGAGAGCGATTTAGCTAATTTGCAGGAGTCTTTAATGACTCCTTCGAAGGAAATCCGACGTGCGTCGAGAGGAGCAGAAGCAAAAGCTCCCCTTAAACATGAAGAACTGGGTTAGTGCCATTCACATTTCACATTTTATTGAATGCAAGTATATAATTAAAAAAATTTATTAAATGTGGGTTAAATTATGTACTGTAGTGGTTTAAACAAGCCCTATTATTTTGATGACTGTCAACCCTCCCTCATTTAGATCTTATTAGATATTTACATTCTTTAAGTAAAGTCAGGTTGTACATCAAACAGAAAACCCATTCAGTTTAACTTAGTAGTCAGTGATCATAAAGAATTTCATTAAAGAGAGAAAATTGAACTGTCTTCCCAATGACTCAATTTAGACTTTGCCTTGGGCATGTACGTAAATCTAATGTGTGTATGTAATGTATTTATCGTAAATTTATAAACAGGCCTTAGGCTTATTACAACTGTCATTTGACAGCCTATCATTTGACAACCGATTAACAAAGACTAAACATCAGACATCATTTAATAAATATATTATCAATTATCCTGTCATTTTCAAATGCCATTTTTGAATTTTAGAAAAATACAAATACATATTGACAAATAGACTAACTGAGGAGCAGTATGGGCAAGCTGCTGGCTGTGGTAGTATCATCCAGGGTTTAATGACCTTATAAAATGGCTGGCGATGGGAACTTAAAGTAGTTAAGTCTCTAACTCAATATCATCCAAAATCTTCGACAATGAAAACACAAATTATTTGTCAATTTAAATCAACAATGATGTTGTGATCTTACCGGGAAAAGATGGGCTTCTGATATCCAATATTTAAGACAAAATAAAAAAATTACCATTGGTACTCGAATCGTGTACCATAATGCGTTTCAGGCCCATTTTTAACAAGGGACTTGAAGAACGAGGCTAGACGGTGACGCATAATTCTTACCTGGAGAGCATACGCAATACATGCTATGTAGACTAGAATAACCAGACGCTAGAGATTTACTTTAGATTGAGATTTCAGGCGTATTTCGCCGAACATAACAGATTTGAAATGAGAGTAAAGACGGAAATAATTGAATGTAAATCAGTTTATATACATTCATATTACAGTATTATATGCGTTGTGACCCATTTGTGTCAATTTCTAGGTCCCAAATATTAGCGATTTAGCTCCTTTAAATTAATTATTATTCAGTTCTTAATTGTATTAGCTAAGTTATAGGCAAGGTTCTATGGTAGTGTACATGTATGTGGAAGTTTATTAGAAACATTAAAGATCGAAGCTGTTGAAATCTTCATGTTCTCTATAATTACAATATTTTTAAAGATTGATTTATTTCTAAATCACCCCCTAGTCCATTATCCCCCATCTTGACTAATTATAAGGTATAAAGGAGTGATTACAAGATACTGTGATTTATTATTTGATTATCAACCAATTCTATATACTCCATCAAATTGATTTATTTTGCTTGAGAAGCTGACCTGTATGGTGTCCAGTACCACTAGAACCTGACCCCTGTATGAGTTTGAATAGTGTCTGGTACAGATTGAACTAAAGCCTTTCTTTAATATAGTATCTCCACATACCCCAGTTGACCTTCCTGATAAGGACTTTCACTGACCATTCAACTCTTGATAAGCAGATTATCTTGAGCTCTTGAGTATTTGTAGTATCTGGACAACCAACTCTATTCATTGAAATCTTGAATGACCAGATGAAAGGGGTGGAATATGGACAATCCAGTACAATAGTTGTTGAAGAGTTAATGAGATTATTAGTAGTAATTTGCTGGGGATATGTAAACATTAATACCACTTTATTTATATTCATACATATACATGTGTAGAGCGTGTTATATTCATGTTTTAAAGACCACTTCACCATGTTATTAATTGCATGTCTGATTCATTCTAAATATAGAACAATATTGATATTTGATGAATCTGGAATGAGTACTTTCAGAAACTTGCACTTAAATGTCTGTGCTACATTTGCATATATATCAAATATCAAATTTTGTACAGCTTCATGCTAAAATGTACTCAGATTGATTATTTAAAATTTAATTAAAACAAGATCCAAATAATCTCTCGACAAGAGGCCCATCAAAAGATTGTAGTGAAAATTACACTTTTGATCATTCCATGATGTCAAATGTTGTGAAAATTTAATGCATCATATCTTTGTAAATTCTTAATGGAATCAGATCATTTTTGGATTGAATCCTGAATCTCTTAAATGATGTTCAAAGACTTTGATTTGGGACCAAAAGTAAATGGATCATCTGCCTATTCCACTCTTTCCAATTTTACAGTTTTCATTTAGACATCAAGGTTGTTGAATACCACATCATATCTTTGTAAGTACTGAATGGAATTGAAGCAATTTTGGACTGATATTCCTTTCACACTATTGTAGTTTAAAGGGATTTCTCAATCCATCAAATATGGTTCAGAGACTTTGATATTGGACCAAAAGAAATTCCTGTGTAAAAATGCCATACATGTATGTTTGGTGCAGTATTGTCCGGTTGGTGCCGACTGCCCAGAAACTCTATTTTATTCATACCAAAAGTAAACTGACTGTCTATTCCACTCATTCCAAGTTTTTTGGGGGGGTGGGGGTGGATGGCTGAATGGTTAGCATGTGCGCGCTGTATCATAAAGTCTGTCATTGAGTCAACTGGCATGGTTTCGAATCCCCTGTTGTACATAAGGAGTAGGGTCGCCTGTCCAACCTCGTGGGTTTTCTCTGGGTCCTCCGGCTTCCTCCCACTGCTAAAGACCCCTATGCGCAAGCGAATTATTGAAATAAACTTAAACCATATGTTAGTCCTGAAATGACCTAGTTTGTGTTTTTTTTTCTCTCTCTCTCTCTCTCTCTCTCTCTCTCTCTCTCTCTCTCTCTCTCTCTAAGTTTATAGTTTTCTGTTGCACATCAAGGTTGTTGAATAACACGATCTATGTTGAATATCTCTTGACACGCAATATCTGATTATTAGAATAGATTTAGCGTATTTTATTTCCTTCGATATACGATACAAGATTAATACTAACTGTAACACTGGGACTTGAAGGGACTATTAAAATCGTAGTCGACTGTTGACTTAGACTTAACCTAAATAAGAAGACAAGCTTATATTTACACAACCGTAGATAATTCTCGTACACAAGTCACAAGTTTTAAATCAACTCTTGTTAGATCATGTCTTGCATTTACCTGCCAAAATATTTCTTTACAATAGAAATTCGATCCAGCATAACATGCAGTCTTTCTGTAAATTAAAACGGCCATGTTCTGTTTAAAGAAATTACTCGTGTTTAACTCACACAAACAGTTATCTTGTACCTACAAATATAGAAACACATTCTTCTTCAGATTTCATATTGAGACTACACGACTAACAAGACCTTTAACATGATCAGTTAATTCCCTGTATCTTATTTTTATCATGAACGTAGAAAATATTGAATAGATATTTGAACGCATGTATAAATACTCAACATATTGTGTTCGTGTAATCCATTACATCTGCTGAAATAAAAAAAAAGAGATATTGGAATTATTGCTGTGAGCAGGAATATTCCATTCAGGACTCAGGGGTTGGATGGCCGAATGGTTAGCACGTGCGCACTGTATTATAAGGTCTGTCATTGAGTCAACTGGTCTTGGTTTCAATTCCCCGGTTGTGCGTGACAAGAAATAGGGTCGCCTGTCCAACCTCGTGGGTTTTTTCTTGGTCCTCCGGTTTACACCCACTGCTAAAGACCCCTACGCGTAGGCGAATTATTGAAATAAAATTGAACTGTATGTTAGTCCTGAAATGACCTAGTTTGTGTTGAGTGGATGTTAAACTCTCTCTCTCTCTCTCTCTCCATTTAGGACTAAATGACATTACTAAACATGCCCAATGTACAATCAAATAATAGATGAATGATACTAAAAACCTTTGTAAAAGATATTGAAAAATTCTTGAAATAATACCCCTTACAATAGTTGAAAGCAAAGATACTGAAAAAAACATGTAATCATACACACAGGTGACATCAAACCTTCCAAACCACTTTATACATGTATCAACAAATCAACGAGATATTTGCACTTGAAAATCTAAAGTACACAGTAATCCATCATTTATTCTGCATTGAGGAAAAATTTCAAGTGAGCCAGAGATTGGTGTCTCCATGACTTCGGCACTCAAAATCAGCTCTTTGAAATTAATCTAAAATATTTTGAAAAATTGTCTTACAAGAGAATTACAAGTATGCAGCCAGGTCTACTCGATAAGAGTCATAATCAAACGTGAAAATAAGGTATCGTTAACAGATATTATCAGACACATATTCAGGCTTTGTCAGGTGACTATCAAATTCCCTTGAAGCCAATAAAAATTGTCTTCCTTAGCCTGGTTGATGCAGAAAAGTAAGACATTAGACAAAATTTATTTCAATTCTTAAAGATACATTATGGGAGATTAGATAAATTTCTGTCAAATTGCTCCACTCTGAACCAAGATATTATCTTTTGAGTTTTAAACCTAGCCTCGATCTTCATTACCGGTACTAAAGTCAGTACGATAAAAAAACATAGTCAGCATTATCCAATTTTGAATTTTATCATCAATGAGTGTTCAGCAACAGATCAGATTCATATCCAGTGAAAATCCGACACTAGAGATGACATTGAGAGTTGACTATGGTTTGGATGAGTTAAAATAAATGTCTAATTAATAGTTTATATAACATTTCAGGCCTAAAGAAAGACCTGCAATAAGCAGATTTAGCTCTTGTATAATGTATGTTTAATATTTTTGTTTATTATATTTTTCAGATGGTAAGAACACCGTAAGAGCAACATGTCGTCTGTACGTAAGACTGATAACACGTGACATGTTACTGAACAGTGTCACCATACGATTAGATAAGATGACACAAACAGCCTTCCTGTCTCCGCTCTTCAGATTCTTCACTGATGCTCTGGCCACCATCTTAAAGACCGAGAAAGACAACATCTTTATAATCAATGTACAGGACGATACAGATGTCACGGCTCAGATATTAAACGTGACAGTGTCGGTCAGACAGACGGTTAAGATGATACAAGGTTCAAGTGTGGATGTTTTTTATTCGTCATCGTATTTGCAGGAACATATCTACCTACAGCGAGTTCCATTGGCTAATTTATCGACTTTACAGGTATGTATTTTAAAGTCTCATTGCATCAATTTAGCGCCATGAATATCAGTCCAAAATGGTTCAATTCCATTCAATATTTTCAAAGATATGTTACATTGAAATTTAATCGATTTATGCTACTCGCTATATATGCTATAAGCCTGCCCGGACAGCGGCACTATGGCCTACTTTTATATTGAATTCCAACTGCCAAGTGATCTTTTATCTTTTACATGTACGCCAATGTGTACACGGTACCTCATTTTTTTTTGTTCCATCCGAACGACTAGAGAGCTGTCCTTGTCAGGCACTTCGTCCTGCACATTTGTAGTACATATTTACATAGTTATCTGTTAAATAGTACATACTTGTTTGGATTAAGCAGTGAGAATTCTTATTTTTTTATCGAAAAATACAAATGACACATCATTACTCTATTGTCAGTGTTTTTTTGCATTGACCCATGTTTTGTTTTTTTGCATTGACCCATGTTTTAATTTTTTTGGAATGACCTACGTTTCATTTTTTTGCAATGACACATGTTTCACCTCGGTGTAAGTTTGTAATAAATGTGATTCTTCATATCTTGAAACAAATGCCATTAATTTGTCTTCTATAAAAAATGAAACAGGGTTTAGTTATTTTGAGACAAACATATTGTAATTTTCACGGATGGTCGAATGGTTAACTTGTGCATGTTGAATCCTAAGGTCTGTCATTGAGTCAAGTGGCATGGTTTCGATTCACTGCTTTTATGTGACAAGGAGTATTAATAAAATAAAATTGACCCCTATGATAGTCCCGAAATGATGTCGTGTGGATGTTAAACCCGCTCTGTTTTTTATGTGTATGCCACAGATGGACATCCAAAATTTGAATGTCTAAATTGAATATTAGTCTGATTGTGGTTTAATTCCATTCAGTATAGTTACTTTATAGCATGGTTTAACTGTGGAGAATTTAATATTTTCAAAGAAATGACACAAATTACAATTGTAAATGAACTAATGATTTATTTCTAATGAACTAATGATTTATTTCTATCACCAGGTTTTACCGTTTGATGATAATCTGTGTATGATGGAACCATGTACTGACTTTGAGGATTGTAAATCAACATTAGTATTTGGGAGTGCTCCCCCCTTTATCATGTCAGACACCATGTTATTCCGACCAATCCATCCTGAAAATGGCTACAGATGTGTATGTCCCCAAGGTTTTATAGGTAAGCAGTACAGCAGTACAATTTACAGGCCTGGAAATAACGGTTTTAGATGTACCTAACAAAATGTCAGGCACTAATGAAATAGTACCTGACATTTTCAACTTAGTGCTGGACATGTATTAATAATATCAATAAAAAAGACAAATCAGTGCCGAACAAAATGACAGGCACCAGAGATATTGTGCCTGACAAAGCCTTAATCTGTGCCTGACATTGTCTGTGACACATGCCTTATTTCCAGGCTTGAATTTACTAATCAAATTTGGGTTCTTTGCCACAAAAAAAGCTTTTGTTGAGTAAATTTGGGTTGGTTGTCACACAAAAAGCTTCAGTTGAACAAATCTGGGTTGGTTGTCACACAATTGCCAATGAAGAAAAAAGTTGAAACTGGCAGACAATACTAAAACTGTTGATCACTATGTGCAAATTACTCTACAGTAGAGAACCAAAAATGTTTATTTCTACCAAGTTTGCTAGCAAATAAACATTTTAATTTCTACATCTAATGTAGAGAACAAAAACTTTTATGCATAATGTATATACTTTTTAATCTCAACCCAATTTGCAAGCAAATAAACTCTTTAATTCTACCCTGTGGCAAATAAACTTTTAATTCTATCCTATAGCCAAGAAACATTTTAATTTCTACTTTGTGGCAAACAAACGTTTTAATCTTTACCCTGTAGCAAATAAAAATTCTATTCTTAATTTGAATAATTTTGAGAATATACTAAACAGTCGTCTGTTAGATGGATAGAGGGAGCTGTCGACAAAGTGTATAATTTGGGTAAAATGTCATTAAAACCTACTCAATTTGTTATTGAAACCTAAGATACTGATATTAATTTTTGCGAATATGATATTCCGATCAGTCAGACTGATCTGACACCAAAGATAGATGAGCAGTTCTTGACTGCCATTTTGAAAATGAATATTTTTCTGAAATTTGAAAAAAGAAATGAAGAATTGATGTATTATTATGTTTTAGGAATGAATGCGACAATTTTTTGCGATACTGAAGTAGATCTGTGTTATTCACATCCTTGTTTAAATGACGGAGAGTGTTTTCAGGAAGAAAATGGCTATACCTGTATCTGTAAAAATAACTTTGAAGGTTTGTATTTCTTATTAGTATTTACTGTTTTGTTTTGAAACCTGACCATAGCTAAACCATACAGGGTCGAATTGCTGCTTGCATTCTTTTCTCCTTCTCTTGTGGTTCCAACCTCGTGGGTTTTCTCCGGGTCCTCCGGTTTCCTCCCACTGCTAAAGACCCCTACGTGCATGTGAATTATTGAAATAAAAATTAAACCATATGTTAGTCCCGAAATGACCTAGTTTGTGTCGAGTGGACGTTAAACCCCATTCTATCTGTCTCTCTCTCTCTCTCTCTCTCTCTCTTTCTTCTCTTGTGGAAAGTTCATTTGCAACCAGAATCGACTGTTCATAGCTCCAGCTTGACGAAGCTCGTTTGAAACCACAGGGTTGCTCTAGACTTGAGTCGAACTTGTTAACCCACACCCTAATCAGGTATCTCCAAATAGCACCAATCAGCAAATAGATTTTCTTCAAATTTTGATCCCTGATTTATTTGTTAACATTTATGTTCTTTTTTTTTTTACAGGTAAAAATTGTGAGGTCAACACGACAGCTAAATTCGATGTTTTAAGTTGTCCTAATGATATGTGTCAATCCCCGTCATATTGTATTCCTTTAATACAAGGTGGTTTCCGTTGTCAAGGATGTCCTGAAGATGAGAATTACGATAAATTTTGTCGACTTCGTACCCGTAGTTTTTCTAGAGGATCATCCCTAACCTTTCCTTCACTAAGAAAACGACACAGATTTGTGGTAGAACTCAGGTAAGTGATGGATCATTTTTTTTGTTTTTTTGTTTTGTTTTGTTCTTTATAAATTTGATTTGGTTCTTTTGTCAATCTAATTAAAACACACATCCTATTTCGTTTCATTTTTTATAGTTTTTTTTTCTCTGTACTACACTAAGTTCTGGAAGAGTTGTTATATAACCTGCGTTCTGGATAGCTTGAGAGATTAGCCAATGAAACCCTCTGTTACAGCGACTTCTTAGCGTACGATGCACGGAAATGTGGGTAAACCACTAAAAACGTCAATGCTGATTGATTAATCAATGCTCGTGCGACCCCCTGACGTGAACTTTCACTACAACTGGTCAGATCTTCATGTAGTATAGGCCATCGAAAGTATAAAAAAATGAACGAAACAAAATATAGATCTGTATTTTAATCAGATTGTTCTTTTGTGTACCTTCGGCGGTAGCCTCAACTCCATATATAGCTGACCATTTTATGAGGAAGGTCATAAAGTTTTTCACCTGAAAAAAGAAAAAAATCATTTAAAGAGAATTTTGATATGGATCCGTAGCTTAGAAATTTCTAGTGAAATTACAGTACAACCAGATATTTCCTCAATCCTGCTGTATTATAGAAAATTCTCAAACAAGATTTAAGGTCGTATTGTGTTTATCACATGGTATCAAATTACTTAGGAATCAGGATATTGATCCAATATCGTTTATGATTTTGATGAAGTTTTGTGGATTTTTTATGTAATGAATCGCATGTAATGGTAGTTGATTGATGTCATTAAACAATTGAACCAGTGTTGCAAGAGAGTTTAATCAACATAAACTAACCACAAAGTCAATTTACTTGATTAGACTAAATCATCATTATTGTAAGGGTATGATCATTTTATTTAAACATACATTATGCAAGAGCTAAATCTGCCCATTGCAGGTCTTTCTTTGGGCCTAAAATGTTATCTAAATTATTAATCGGACATTAGTAGCGTATGCCTGTCTCCATTAGCCCAGTCGGAGTATAACAATAGGATGTTAACCCCATTTCATTTCTAAAGGAATATTCGTCCAAAAATAGATACGTTCCATTCAGTATTTATAAAGTTATGGGTATTGCAAATTTTCTCAACATCTAGCATCCTTTCCGAAGCTGTAAGTTTTTGAATAAAACCTTTTGATGGGCCTATTTTTAATCTGATTGGATACAATATCTACTGTTGGGTGATATTTTGGATTTGTTTTCTTAAAGATACATTAGTTAAGTGTTTAATAAAGGGTTGGCCATTTCATTCCACACTGTATCCATTATAACCTATTATCAGTATTAACTTAAAGGCTCAATACCACTCTTGTTGTAACTGAATAATATGTCCCAATCTTTATTCTGGTCAACAAATTGTACTATTTTAGAATATTTCAATTAATTGATGATACAAATTTCATCTTAACACACCTTATTTAGAAATTTTGAAAAATTCAACAAAATGGTTTGAAACGTCTAACGTAAACCTTTTCAAATGAAACTTTGATTTAAAAATATTTTCGAACCCTCTGGACAAGTAAAATAGGATGTAATGGATAATTTACACAACAGGTAGGACACTTAAACATCTAGTACTTAGATAGAGATATTATTTATTTTCTGGAGCTTTCAAGCCAGCAAGAGTGTTATTGTCCCTTTAAAGATAAGTTAGTTAAGTGTTTGATAAAGGGTTGGCCATTCTTGCTATAATAATCCAAAAATAGATGATAAAAAAAGAAGATATTGAAAATTTCAGTCGAATTACTTTATTTTAAATGGAGTTGTCACTGTTGGAAGTTTGAACTAGGAATAGGCAACAACTGTGTCTGCACCGTCTACGAGAATTGCCGATCGTTTGATTGACAGACGATAACTCCACCCACATATTCTCGATATTAAGTAACATTCTTGATGGCAATAGTACCATCGCTTGGCCGGCCTTTCTTCACCTGTCTCCGGTACTGACGTCGGTGGCTAACGTTAGCTTGGTCAGCTGTTTATTGATTTAATTTTAAATGGACGACTGTTTAAATCCAAACTGTATCCAAGCCATCCATGGGTCTACAGAGTTGATTTGGAGCTTATAAAGATCTAATTAATAATTTCTATATCATCTGAAGCCTAAAGACTTGCAATAGGCAGATTTAGCTCTTGCATAATGCATGTTTAATTAAATGTTAAATAATTAGTTTGAATATATCTTGGCAAGAATTAAGCTGTGAAAAATGAGATATTGTGAGAAAAAAACAAGATCGTGATATGCGACTTTAGGCCAATAAAGGTTGCCATTGCTGCATATTGATAATATTTAACAAGTAATTGGAGAAATCTGAGAAGTATGGCATTCGACTAGTTTGCTTGAAGCATCGACCAATTGTGTAACATCTCAAGCTTCTGACTTAAATTAATTGTGGCCATTAATTTATTACTTGATATGTCTTTGATGATTTGATAATTAATTCAATGGATGAACTAAGATCAATTCATTCTTCCGATTATTGATTTTTTGCCAATCTTCATCCGACAAGAAAGAAAACCTACGAAGTTAAGTTGATGAAGATGAGAGAGGTTATTGTTTGAATTATAGTGGTTGCTGATTAATAATGAGGCCGAGTCGACCCTTGAGTGCTGGAGATTTCGTACTGGATGACTGCATGTTGATTTGCATGATTTTAGTTGGTGTTTGTGATATCATTGGGCCTTGAATGATAAAAATCCATAATTTCTTTTTTGATCTTTATAACTCATAGCTCCAAGATAGAATAATAACAATGCTTTATTGTTTAGCATTCTGCACTCGGACAACTAACTGCTTGGTGAATAGATCTCTGCCCTTAGACAAGGAGTAGGGTCGCCTGTCCAACCTCGTGGGTTTTCTCCGGGTTCTCCGGTTTTCTCCCACTGCCAAAGACCCCTATGTCCAAGAGAATTATTGAAATAAAATTGAACCATGTGTTAGTCCCGAAATGACCTAGTTCGTGTCCAGTGGAAGTTAAATCTGTCTCTCTCTCTCTGCCCTGAATGACCACCATATTAAAAAATGAGTACGTTATGCGAGTTCTACTCCCTTTTACATTGTTCATACACACAAAATATAAATTAAAATTTTCAATTTTAAAAAATGGAAGCAGAATAAAATTATACTTTTCAAAATTTTCAAAGTGTTCTTCGTGTTTTTTTTGACACCGTTCATAGACAACAAGTATAATTAACAATTTCAATTTTAAAAAATGCCCACGGAATAAATACTTTTCAAAATTCTCGAAGTATACTTAGTGTTTTTTTCGACTTTACATAATAAATTAACATTTTCAATTTTAAGAAACGGAAGTGGAATAAATACTTTTCAAAATTCCCGAAGTATACTTTGTGTTTTTTCGACTTTACATTATTTATACACATAAATTATAAATTAACATTTTCAATTTTAAGAAACGGAAGCAGAATAAAAAGCTTTCTAAAATTCTCGGTATACTTAGTGTTTTTTCGACTTAAATCGTCGATTAGAATGTCAGCCAACCAGCTTCATGTCTGTTCTAATTGCAGACAGACAGCGTAAGTTTAGTAGCAATTTTGAGAAGAAGATGGTAATTATTGCCAATCACTAAACAGACTCTTTTCCGTTTCTTTGATTGTTGAGTAACTCCTGTTAGAAGCCTTGTTGTGAGTCACAAAAGGAAAGATTATTACCCACTGGTCGTAAATCAATAGTAGAGTAGAAAATGTGCTAGTTATTTTATATTGTATTTATAAAAACACATATTTATTGATGAGTTCTGTTCGTTCACTAGCATGTCTATTGATTCTCGAAACACGATATTGTATCTTAAAAAACACATTGAATAGTGTGTATTTTAATGGCAGTTCTATAAGAAAACGGAAACTTTATACTAAATGTAATACAAATATCTTTTTTTCGTTTTTTATCACGTGCTAAGCGAAGTTAATGGACTCTGTCTCAGTATTGTTTCCGGAGCATATCACTGGAATGTCTCAGTATTGTTTCCGGAGCATATCACTGGAACAACTCTAGATATCTTTTTTACGGAGCTTTCCCACACCACAGCCTTTTGATAATTAGGTACTTTTCCGTTGAATAGTTTTTCTGTTTCCATGGCGAAAACTGACTTAGTTTTTAAGTGAAAATTTAGGTCATCTTAAACATCATTTTCTTCTTGTGGCGGAGTTGATTTTTTATATTTGGATGGAACCATTCTTAGATGCAAAAGTGAAAAGTGTGTTAAAATAAAAATGCAAATTAAGTTAATTTTGACTTGTTTTTCTTCTAATCCACTCGACCAAAACTAAAAGGATCTTTTGTCTGGGTTATTTTTATTCAAACTTTTTTCAAACGTTATTGCTTTCACACAGGTTGGGTGAGCGAGTGGAAACTTGTGTAAGCATATTTTGACATAAAACTACGAATGTGTCAACAGAATTTTGTTCATATCATAATATGCCCTTTTATTGTGTCTTTAAAAATGTTTGTCCCTTTGAATTAAAGGAGCTAAATCTGTAATATTGTTAGACCTAGAAATTGACACAAATTGTCTACAACGCATATAATAATGTAATATGAATATATATAAACTGATTTACATTCAATCCTTTCTGTTTTTGCTCTGATTTTAAATCTTTTATGTCTCAATTGAATGGCAATCTCTAGCGTCTGGTTATTCCCATCTACACCAATAGTATTTATTGCGCATGCTCTCCAGATTAAAATATGACATCACCGTTTGACACAACTTGTGGAATATATGTCTAGCCTCGTTCTTCGAGTCTTGTGTTAGAAATGACACTGAAACGTGTACCAATAGTAAAATGTTTATTTTGTCTTAAATATTGGATATCAGAATCCCATTTTTTCCTGGTAAGATCACAATATCAATGTTGATTTAAACTGGCGAATAATTGGATGATATTGAGTTAGAGCCTTAGCTACTTTAATGAAGGAAGAGTTATAGAAAGGTCTTATATTGTTTGCATTCATAACCTCAATAACCGACTTCCTAATCGATGTATTATTATGGCCCTCAGATGTTTTGTTCTAAAAGCTGCTTACTTAGCTCGCTCCTTATGTAACACGTTTGTTTCTAAATATAGATTTCTATGTTTTTTTCCAGTTTTGCTACACAAGAAAAGAATGGATTGTTGTTTTATAATGGCCGATTCAATGAGAAGCATGATTTTATATCACTGGAGATAGCTGATGGACAGGTTACGTTTTCCTTCTCACTGGGTGGCAGTATAACAAGTGTGTTTCCTTATGTAGAGGGAGGTGTTAGCAATGGCCAGTGGTGGAAAGTAAAAGTAGAATATTTAAATAGGGTAAGTTTTTCATATCCGTTGAAGGAATAACTGTGACTCAGGTTGGATCCTAGTGTTGGTTTCACCTTGACAGTGGGCCTGGCAAGGAACAGTATCTAGTCATTTGGATGGGCCAAAAAAACGAGGTCCTGTGTAGGATACTCTTCATTGAATTCGAACCATCGTGGCTTCTTTTACTTGCATGCCAATGTGTACATAGATGGGCCCTGTTTTTGTTCCATCAGAACAACTAAGAAATACTTGTCTTGTTAGCCCTGCGGGCACCACCTCTAATAACTGGGAACCAACCGTTTTTGTTATTAGTCCTACAGATGCTACCCGACAAGTTGGAACCATGCTTGTTATAACAGACGACTGAAATAACAAGAATCTTGACAGGTGTAAACAGCTGAAACGAATTTCGCAACTAATAAATATATTCCTTCTCACCATCAACTGAAAGATACACATTGCACCAAGACAAAGTGCATATTTTAGACATTGTTTAACAATTTTATTGGAAAATCTCAACATTAGGCCATATAAAATAATATTCGGTGCCGGTGCTTGGATAATCCCGGGTCACTTGAAATTTGAAAAAGGCAGCATGACCTGTTTTTATTTTTAGAAAATAAAAACAATCTATTTAATTACCGCACATAAATATTTTTCTACAGTCATAGGATGTAACTCTATAAAAATTTAAAAGAATACAAAAATGTTCCATAGGCTCATTTATCAAGTTGATCTGTTTCACAGAGGATTACGAAAGTCTTTTAATAACTCTGTAAAAGACGACTGCCTTCAACATGTGACGTCACATCACGCGGCATCAATCTTTGGCTCAATGGCGCGTGCATTGTTTACATAAGACTTTTAATACTGGTTTGGGCAGAATGCTGCCTTTTACTCATTTTAATACCCATTTAGACTTGAATTTAATTTGTCGGGGGGGATGGGGGGGGAGTGAATATTTGTGACTCATTAAGTCGCATCGATGTCATCCTTATCAGTGATTGTAGCGGCCAGGCAAATATTCACTGCTGATCAGTGTGTTATCAAGTATGCAACCCTGATAAATGTTACTGGATAATAATGCTTATAAACAACATGATGAGATAAATACGATATTTATAAGAAGTCATTTAGCCCAGTAGAGATCTTTTGGCAAAATAAAAACCTCCCTCTGAGAACCAGAATATTTTTTTGTATGGCCTTAGTTGAAATATTTCCTCATCATTTTATTATTACAGCAAGCAACGGTAACAGTAGGAGAGAATTGTGATACAGAGATCTCCGTCAGATATGGTCAGACTCTAGGAAATTATTCTTGTGCTGCTCGAGCTGTTCATATTTTACACGAAAAGTTAGTATTTATTTGATTATTCTTTAAACATACATTATGCAAGAGCTAAATCTGCCTATTGCAGGTCTGAAATGTTATCTTAATTATTAATTAGACATTAATTAACTGATCAAGGCCATAATCAACTCTTGATGGCATCAGATTTCTCCGATATTAAATAGATTAGAAAGGTTCAGCCATATTTTGATTTAATTTAAAAATGGAATAGTGAGACTTGGCTTTGAACAACCAGTACGGTGGTTGAAATTATTGCACAGGTCTTGTCAAACCTTCAAAGGCTAATATCTTTGCTCGCAATAGTGTAATTTGAATGAGATTTTTAAATTATTCATTTTACATTATCTATTTTCAAACTATACTAAGAATCTTACATAATGTATCTTTAAGAAGAAATTCAATAAGGTGACTGAAATTAAGCAAATGTTATATGATTTTTGATCAATTATTTAAAGATACATTCTAATACTTTATAAAACATTTCAGGCCTAAAGAAAGACCTGCAATAGGCAGATTTAGCTCTTGCATAATGCATGTTTAAATAGTCCTATAGACTGATATTTTTTTTGTATGAAAACGCCTACCAGAAGAGGCATACAGCATGAAATAATATACTGCATCATATTTATAGGAAAACTGAAAAAGAAGTAAAAAAATAAATAAAAAAAATAAAAATGTGTATGGTTACATTTAGCAAAAGCATGATATATAAAAGTGCATAACATCAATTTCTATTTTGGGCGAGAAGCTTGAACATGTCTACAAAGTAGGAAGGAATAGTAGGGGTAATTGTGATGATAGCAATTCCAACAACTTTTAGATCCCAGAGATTATTCAAAATTTGAATGCCTAAAGCAGTGGTTCTCAATTGTCTTTTGCCAAAGGCACACCTTGGAACACATGAAAAAATAGCGGCACACCTGGCTAAATATATATGAAAAATATTTTGGATTTTGCAAAATAAAGTCAGACGGCATACAACCGTAGACAGAGACTAGATAGAATGACTCAAACTAAATTGGGATCACGTTGTTTTTCGTATTTTCTTAGTGTGCCGTTCCAAAGTGTGTCGTCGCACACCGATTGAGAATCACTGGCCTAAAGTGTTCAAGTATTTATTGGAAATTATAATGTCTTTGGTACGTAAAGACTTTTGGTTTAACATAGTTAGATTATTTATTAATCTTGTTGTTTTTTTTGTTTTTTTTTTCTTTTTCTTTTAATTATCATTTAATCATTTTTCCAGATGTAAAAATCCAGTTGTGTTCTGTCACCGGTTTTTGGACTTAACGGGTCCACTGCAGATAGGTGGTTTGCCAGGATTACCAACTGCCTTTCAAGTTAAAAGTCGGAACTATGTTGGATGTATTGGGGATTTTTATATTGATAAAGTTTTACTGGATTTAAATACCTCTGTAGCTGACCTAGGAACAGAAAAAGGATGTCCTCCTAAAATAGAACAATGCAAATCCTCACCTTGTAAATTTGGAGGTAAATAGGAATTCTTTTTACACATAATCACCATATTTATTCTATCTCTATGTTGTAATATACAAGAAGTTTTGAAAAGAAATGAAATGGGGTTTAATGTCCTACTTTATACACCTTTCTGCACCAACTGGGCTAATGAAGACAGACATATGCCATGTAGTGTGCTGTGAAGGAAATTTTGCTTGTACAGCGTGCTACGGCCTACATTTATATCGTATTCCTACTGTCATGAGTTCTTTTACTTGCACTCCAATGTGTACACAGGACCTCGGTTTTTTGTATCATCCAACATACTAGACAGCTGTCCTTGTCAGGGCCGGGCCTCTCCGTCTTCACCGTCTTCATTAGCCCAGTATAAGAGCAGAACAGTAGGACGTTAAACCCCATTTCATTTCATTTCTCCGTCTTCATTAGCCCAGTCAGAGTATAACAATAGGACCTTAAACCCCATTTCATTTCATTTTTAGCAGGCCCTCCACCTTGTCAGTGGTGCGGAACAGATAGCCTTTAAAAGCTCATGTTATGAAAAGATACAGAAAACTTAACTTCCTTATTACTCCATTTAAGTTTCTGGTACTCTATTTCATCATGGTCTTGGGTTCCTTCCATGTGTTGGCCGAGAATGTTCCTCAGAACAGCATCTAGTTGTTCGGATGGTACGAAAAGCTGAGTCCTTTCTTACATGTTGGTGTGCATTCGAAATAAGAGTAGGATCATACCATTGGAATTCAATAGCAGATGGAAATGCTGCTGTTGAGGCAAATTTCCTTCATTGCACACGGCAAGGCACATGCCTGTCTTCATTAGACCAGTTGGTGCAAAAAAGTAGGTGATTTTAAGAAGCCCATTTCATCTTGTTGAACTTAATTTCTATTTTTAAGCCAATAATTATTGAAATTATGTTTTCAGGTACTTGTAAAGAAGGGTGGAATACTTTTATGTGTAATTGTCCAGAGAAAACTGGTGGCAAGGATTGTTCACAAGGTATCAACTTAATACTTTTATTTAAATTTCAAACAGATCATTTGTTTGCATATACTATATTATATCTCTACTACGGATGAAAACCCCCTTAAATGTTCAAGATGTATTAAGGATCCTGTGCATGGAATTCAGGTCTGTCCAATGTAGTTACTTTTTGTTTGCCTGAAGTGATCAGATTTAATGCAGTGAAATGTCACTCAATGACCACCTCAGTAATAAAATATATAAAATCTCTAACCTGGCATTCTAACTGAGTAGGAACACCAGTCAACTATATGTTATTATTGTGAATGAATGTTATTATTGTAAATGAATATTATTATTGTGAATGAATGTTATTGTAAATGAATGTTATTATTGTGAATGAATATTATTTTGAATGCATGTTATTATAAATGAATATTATTTTGAATGCATGTTATTATAAATGAATGTTATTATAATAAATGATTGTTATTATTTTGAATGATTGTAGTTGTAAATGAATGTTATTAATATTACAGTGATAGAATCGAGTAAAGAATTGGATGGTACAGGTTATCTCGAATACAGTAATTTAAATACTCCACCAGTTAACTTTCCCTGGTATAACAGTCTAGCTTTCAGAACACGATCGTATAACGGTACTCTTATGCAGATTATTCTCTCACAAGGTGAAGTGAGAATACAGGTAAGTTATAGACTTAAAACTTTTTTCTCTTTGTTCATTTATCCTTTTATTTTCAGTTTCTTTGGGTTTTTATATAGAGATATTTTATTCTCTATAAATGAATGGGAGATCGGGGAATTATGGAAGGGTATCGCTGGCAATGTTAAATGTAAAATGTAATGAGGGAAATGTAATCTGTAGATACATAAAAAAACAGCATTTTCCAATAAAACATTTGACATTTGACACATTGCATTTGACTTTGCCTTTAGAGGTATTTTGTCTTTAACATTACTGGTATTAGGACTTTGTACATTGTACGTTTTACACATAGTCAAAGGAAAAGACATTTTAGCAGAGCATTTAATATTGGCAGCGATACCCTTCCATGGGGAACAGGCAAAATGCCTATGTCAGCCCCCAATTTCCATTTCTTTGTCTGAAGCCTAAAATGATGTAACTGCATCATATCAGCTTGTATATAATTTGTGATTTGTTTCAGTTATTGGATGGCAATGTTATGTATCTATATGACGGTAGAGCTATTGTTATTTGTTTCAGTTATTGGATGGCTATGTTATATATCTATATGATGGTAGAGCTATTGTTTTTGATAATGCTAGAGTTAATGATGGTCAGTGGCATTATTTTGAATCCAGATGGTTTCAGGGTCAACTCAAGATGTTTCTGGATTATGGTCAAAGACAGGTAATATTTACTTCCTGCTTGGATTTTTATTTATTTGGATGGTCGAGTGTGCTTAAGATCATAAGGTCTGCTATTGAGTCAAGTGACGGGTTTTGATTCCCGCTTGTACGTGACAAGGAGTAAGGGTTACCTGTCCAACCTCGTGGGTTTCTCCGGGTCCTCAGGTTTCCTCCCACCGCAAAAGACCCCTATGTGCCAGCAAATTATTTAAATAAAATTGAAACATGTGTTAGTCCCGAAATGACCTAGTTTGTGTCAAGTGGACATTAAACCACATCTCTCTTACTCAAATAACAAATTGAAATTCTTATTTTCAATAAATTGTCAGTGGTTTTAATCAGATAACAAATTGAAATTCTTTGTCTTAATTGTATCATAGTTAAAGATACATTATGGGAGATAAGATAAAGAGCTGACAGTTCTTACTATAATAGTTAAAAATTAGATACTGTAAAGAGAATTTGCTGAAAATTTCAGTCAAATTGATCCATTCTGAACCGAGATTTTAGCGATTGAATTTTCCGCCTAGCCTCGAGCATCATTGATAAAGTCGGTAGGATAAAAAACATAGTCTCGATTATCCTCGATCATCATTACTAAAGTCTGTAGGATAAAAAACATAGTCTTGATTATCCATTTCCTGATTAAATTATGAATGGAAGTCGAACAGCAAATTGGAACCTAATCCAATAAACATCGCAGGCTAGCGATGCCATCAAGAGTTGATTATGGTCTGGATAAGTTAATTAATGTCTAATTAATAGTTTATAAAACATTTCAGACCTAAAGAAATACCTGCAAATAGGCAGATTTAGCTCTTGCATAATGTATTTTTAATGAATGAGAGTTGTACAAGATTGAATATATTTCATCTGTATTCATATAAAATAATTTTACTTGCTGTGTTTACTTACAGAGAATTGTTGAAATGCCGAGCACAGTTCTCGAGAAGCTTGTCCAGAAAGTTCATATTGGAGGTCACAAAACTGGCAGTGGACCAATCACAAATGGTTTTACAGGCTGTATAAAGGTAAAACTACTTTCAAAACTTTCTTTACCCGACTCTCTGCTCATACATAATCAAGGAAGCATCAACTCCAGTGAAACAGAATTGCTCCGTTCGATCTGTGACTTCTACTGTGCTCCGGTCCCCCACGACTATAAAAAGAAAACTAGTAGCTTCAGGAGGGAAATCTGGGATGGCAACCTGCCACTTTTAAATTTCTGATATTACTTTTAAAGAGCTACTTACGTTTAATCATATAACTATAATTTAATTTGAGACAACAGACTATTACATTATCAAGTCTCTTTATCTAATTGGAAACACATCTTTCTTGTAAATTATCAGGGGGGTTGGGTGGCCGAATGGTAAGCACGTGCTCGCTATATCATAAAGTCTGTCATTGAGTCAACTGGCGGGGTTTCGATTCTCCGGTTGTATGTGACAAGGAGTAGGGTCGTCTGTCCAACCTCATGGGTTTTCTCCAGGTCCTCCGGTTTCCTCGCCCTGCTAAAGACTCCTACGCTTAAGCGAATTATTGAAATAAAATTGAACCATGTGTTAGTCCCAAAATTACCTAGTTTGTGTCGAGTGGACGTTAAACCTTGTCTCTCTCTCTCTCTCTCTCTCTCTCTTATCATAAAACTGGAATTTAAAAAAAAAAAAATGTCCTCTGTTCAAGTTCTGGGGTGGGTTGAGGGAAATGGGAAATGATTCAATTTGAACTAAAGATATCTGGTTCCCACATGACAGGTGTGACACTTATGTTTATTAATGTCCAAGGTTGAGGTGTTGATAAGAAATTAATAAGCCATGTTAGTGTTCAAAAATTTATGTCCCCCTATATTGGGGTGTTGGGAGGTGCGGTGTAATGCGAGCGCAGTGGATCATAAGGTCTTATCATTGAGTCAAGTTGTGTGGTTTTAATTCCCCGCATGTATGCGACAAGAAGTAGGATCGCCTGTTCAAACATGTAACTTTTCTCCAGGTCCTCTGGTTTCTTCCCATTTTATTGAAATAAAATTGAACTATATGTTAGTCCCGAAATTGCCCTAATTGTTCTTTCTCTCTCGCCTGTATATTGAAATATAATATCTATTTGTTTTCAGGATGCACGTGTAGGTAATTCTGATATTTCACTGTTAGAACAACCACGAGAATCTAACGTTAAAATAGGTTGTTCATCACCAGACGTCTGTAAACAAGCTACATGTGGATCTGGAGAATGCATAGATCTATGGGGAGATTACTCTTGTCAGTGTACACCTGGTAAGTTATTTATTGGCCTATTTTATCTCGATATGTTTAACAAGATGTTGGCCGAGAAAGTTTGAGATTAGTACAGGACGTATAATTGTTTGGATGGGACGAAATACTGTTTCCCTCATAGCACACTGTATGGCGTATGCCCGTATTCTTGAGCCCAGTCGGAGTAGAACAGTAGGACGTTAAACCCTGTTTCATTCATTCATTACTTATAAAGACATATTAAAGCGGCATAATGTAAGATTTGAGCTGACAGTTCTCGCAATAATAGTTGAAAAATAGATAATGATAAGGGAATATGTTGAAAATGTCAAATTACTTCACTCTGAGCCAAGCTATCAGCAATACAATTATAGTCTAGCCTTAATTGTCATTGCTACCGTTGTTACGATAACAAACAAAGTCTCGATTATCCGCCTTTACAGTAACCGCAGCAACAGCAAAACTTGATTAAATCTACTTAATATTGGAGCCATCCGATGGCATTGGGAGTTGATTATGGTCGTGATAAGTTAATTGATATCTAATTAATAATCTATGTAACATTTAAGTCCTAAAGAAAGACCTGCAATAGGCAGATTTAGCTCTTGCATAATACCTGAATAACGTGATATATTTTACCCACTGTATAGGCACAGTAGGACCACAGTGTGTGGAAGTATGTACCAGTGTCAACCCCTGTCAGAACTATGCTACATGTAAATACCCACAAGGCAATGCTCAGACATACACTTGTGAATGTGGTAAGAGACAGAATGGAAGGTATTGTGAAATTGTTTCACCTAAAACATGTCCTGTGACTTGGTGGGGTGATCCGGTGTGTGGACCCTGTGATTGTCCAAAGAATCTTGGTTTCAACAGTTCATGTGATAAAACAAACGGAGAATGTTTTTGTATGGTAAGTTTAGCAAATATATAGTCAATTATTAATAAGAAATGTTATAGATATCTTCAAAAGATTTGATCTGGTTGTTCTTATTGGTCAGATTTTTTTATTTTTCCTTGTGCAATCAAAATATTATGTGCCTTGTGCTAATTAGCAATTTCTCAAAATATAGCAATTTTTGTGTTACCATGGATACACATTTGACTTTGATTTTGTTGTTTCCTGGAATATCAAAATATTAGATGCCATTTGTTAAGTAGAAATTTCTAGAATTTAGTAATTGCTGTGTTTCTTTTAAATACATTGGTTATTCTAACAAACTGTTTTGGTTTTTTTAAATCTACAGGAGAATCATTACAGACAACCAGGTGTTGGTAAATGCAGTGCATGTGATTGTTACGAGAAGGGATCCGAGAGTTTGGCATGTGATCAGATAACTGGAAAATGTAAATGTCGTAACGGTGTAATAGGCAGACGATGTGATCAGTGTTCTAGTAAATTTGCAGAAGTTGAAGATAATGGTTGTGTCAGTAAGTAATGTTACAATTTAAGAGACGTAAGTCACAGTGGCTCAGTGAGTAAGATGCTGGCTCATTAGACTGGAGGTCTCGGGTTTCATCCCAGTGGGGGGGTTGGATGGCTGAATGGTTAGCTTGCGCGCGCTGTATCATAAAGTCTGTCATTGGGTCGACTGGCATGGTTTCGAATCCCCGGTTGTACGTGGCAAGGAGTAGGGTCGCCTGTTCAACCTCGTGGGTTTTCTCCGGTTTCCTCCCACTGCTAAAGACCCCTACGCGCAAGCGAATTATTGAAATAAAATTTTTAAAAAAAACATATGTTAGTCCCGAAATGACCTAGTTTGTGTCGAGTGGACGTTAAACCCAATTTCTCTCTCTCTCTCTCTCTCTCCATCCCAGTGTTAACCGAGAAAGTTCCTCTGGATTTTCCAGCTTGGTTTTCCCTTGTCAGTGGTGCAGGACAGAGGGGGCCTGACAAGGAAACTTGTCTAGTTGTTAAGATTGGATAAAAAAATTGAGGTCACGTGGACACATTGACTTGCACGTAAAAGATCCCTTGGCAATTGGAATTCGATTTAAAAGTAAGCTGTAGCGCTTCTGTCAAGGCAAATTTTCCTCATAGGACACTGCATGGTGTATGCCCATATTCATTAGCCAAGTCGGAGCAGAAATATTGGATGTTAAACCTCATTTCATTTTGTTTAAGTGATGTTGTATTGCCATGGATCGGAATCTAGATTCTGTCCATTGAAGGTCATGCTTTTCTGCACCAACTAGGCTAATGATGGGGCATTCAGCTCTCGACTAGAGTACCTTAGCGTAAAATGGTAGGGCATGAGTCTCTCGACTAGAATACCCCGGCGTAAGATGGTAGGTTGAATACCCTGTTGTTGAATCCAGTCGTATGCCGAGAAGTAATTTAAGAAGGATGGTTTTAATTGTGTTGTAATAACTATCCATGTTATATTATTTTAGTAAAGTATAACGTATGTCCACATAGTCGAGCTGGTGATATATGGTGGGAGAGAACAGAGTTCGGCGTAACAGCTGTACAGAAATGTCCTTATGAAGCACAGGGTAAATAATATTAATGTTTCTATATTGTTTTGAGAAGAATAATGTTTCTGGACTGATGTTGAACAGTCTGCACACAGAGAACTATCTACTTCGAGAATGGATCTCTGCCCTAAATGATCACCATATCACATCTGTCTTACATACACAGACTAATAATATCTTTTCAATTTTATTAAATAGAAGCGGAATAAATCCTTCACACAATTCTCGAAGTATGCTTAGTGTTTTCAACTTATTGATTTACGACTTAAAATGTCAGTCAACTTGGTTAGTGTCTGTTCTCAAGCGCGGAGCTAACTGTAAACAGACAGCATAACTTTAGTATGGGAAGTTGAAATAACGTCCATTGTTTCGATATAAAGGGTGCAATATAGTGATGACCTATTATTGCCTATCATTATGTTATTAAATGTTTAGTATAAATTTAAATATTGTATTTTAATTTTTTGTTTGTTTTGGATATTCTAGGAAGTGCTAAAAGAGAATGTTTTGAATGTAAAGAAGGTAGGTTTCATATTCGTATATTATTTTAGAGCATTTATTGTTTAAAAGAGTACAAAAAGTTCAAACAAAATAAACTGCCAGATACTAAGACCATACAAAAAAACACACAAAATTATTCTAAATTTAATATCTGAGAACCAGAATATTTTCGTGTGTGGCCTAATCTTTCAAAATTAAAATGAAGAATTGTTGTTTTTGTTTGGTATATCTTTTAATCACGAGATTTATATGGTCTATTTATAGGTGTATCATGTCTATATAAGGAAGAAGGTTGGCAGGAACCAGACTTGTATAATTGTACCAATCAAAACTTTACTAAACTTGCTTCCTTGGTAAGTCTTTTTTATATTTTTGGAATAAATGAGTAATGAAATGAAATGGAGTTTAACGTCCTACTGTTCTGGTCAGACTGGGGCAATGAAGACGGGCATACACCATACAATGTGCTATGAAGGAAATTTTGCCTGGAAGTCGGGCTACTGTCTACTCTTATATCGAATTCCAACTGCCAAGGGATCTTTTATGTGCACTCCAAGGTGTACCTCAGTTTTTTGTCCCATCTGAACGACTAGACAGCTGTCCTTGTCAGGCCCTCGTTCTTGCAGCGTAGTGAAAGGGAAACCACACCAGAAAATCCTGATGAACTTTCTTGGTCAAACACTGTGATCGAACTGCAGGCTAGTGAGCCAGCGTCTTACTCTCTTTGCCACTGTTTTAAATAAACATTAACATGTAAGAGATAAGGATGGTTATTGTGTGAGGTGAATATTTGTGAAGTATTTTAAATTTTGTTCAAGAATGATTTGATATTTGTTTTGTTTTTTTCAGTTTAAAACCTCGATATCTAACACATATACAGCTAAGAATGGAATAGATAGATTAGTAGATGCTACTAATACAACTAGTAATATACTGGGTGGAGATATACTCATGTCGTATAATGCTATCAAAAAGATATTACTGTACGAAAATACACAACAAGGGTTAAACCTAACCAGTGAACAACATAGTACATTTATTCAGGTATGATTGTAGTACATTTATTCAGGTATGATAGTAGGAGATTTATTCAGGTATGATGGTAGTACATTTATTCAGGTATGACAGTATTACATTTATTCAGGTATGACAGTAGTACATTTGTTCAGGTATGATAGTAGTACATTTATTCAGGTATGACAGTATTACATTTGTTCAGGTATGATTGTAGTGCATTTACTCAGGTATGATGGTAGTACATTTATTCAGGTATGATAGTAGTACATTTATTCAGGTATGATATTAGTACATTTATTCAGGTATGATAGTAGTACACTTATTCAGATATAATTATAAAATATTAAATAATAAGAATTTGCATTGATGCAGTGGCTGGTTAAATACGAGCAAGTGAGAATAACTGTCCTAATTGAGGAAGGAAATTCAATCTTGGTGTAGGTGTTTTTTTTAGGTGAATGCCTTGACCAATCTCAAGAACAAGCAATATATTTATATGTATATATTTGTAGAGAATGCTGATAGCCATGAGTAATATTACCAATCCAGAATACGAAGACTTATGGGAACGGACCAATTATTTAACAGGTGGCGCTGGAGAACTTGTCAATGAATTTGAGAAATATACAGAGACTCTAACTCGGAGCATGGCGCCAGCTCAATCCTTGCCATTTGATGCCATTTCTGATAATATGGGTAAGGACAATCTCTATTTTTTAGAACATAAAATGGACAAAAATGAGCTCTAAAACATATATTAATGTAATTTAGAAGACTGTGGATAATACTGAGTTATAGCTCTACGCCCTTTAAAGGATCCAACCTAGTGGATTTTCTCGGGGTCCTCCAGTTTCCTCCCCCTGCTAAAAACCCCTACGCGCAAGCGAATAATTGAAATAAAATTTAAAAAAAAAAAAACAAAAAAACATGTTAGTCCCAGAATGAGCTAGTCTGTGTCGAGTGGATGTTAAACCCCATTTCTCTCTCTCTCTCCCTTTAAAGGAAATCAGACTCGTAAATCAGATGTTTTTATTTAGGCCTATTATATTGTATGTCATGGTCATGCTATCCACAAGTTCAATATAAAACTAGTGGTCATTGATCATTAGATCAGTGGTTTCATCCATGTTGTCATTACAAGGAATCACTCCGAATACCTTGTAAAACAAACTTTTGGTTGTGTGTCCTTACTTTCTGCAGCGGGCGGATTGGATGGCTGAATGATTAGTGCCTGTCATTGAGTCAACTGACATGGTTTTGATTTCCCGGTTGTACGTAACAAGGAGTAGGGTTTTGATTCTCCGGAGCCTACGTTTTCCTTCCATTGCTAAAGACCCTTACTCGCAAGCGAATCATTGATATAAAATTGAACCATATGTTAGTCCCGAAATGACCTTGTTTGTGTTGAGTGAATGTTAAACCCCACTTCTCTCTCTCTCTTTTTTTTTGTTAGACTTTTTCTGGTTTATGGTGATTTGTAGAAAAATTCCTAATTTAAAAAAGTCATACAATTCCCAGCTTAAAGGAAATGTTGGGTTATATAAGATAGAATAATGAGAAATGAAATGAAATGGGGATTAACGTCCTACTGGGGTTTAACGCTCCGAACTGAGCTAATGAAGACGGGCATACGCCATACAGTGTGCTATGAGGGAAATTTTGCCCGGGCAGCGGCACTATCGCCTACTCTTATATCGAATTCCAACTGCCAGGGGATCTTTTACGTGCTTTCCAATATATACACGGGACATCAGTGTTTCATCCCATCTGAAAGACTAGACAGCTGTCCTTGTCAGGCCCTCCATCCTGCATCACTGACAAGGGGGAACCACGTAGAATAATGAGAATTTTATATGTTTTTATCTGTTTTTAGTTATGGCGGTTGATTGGATCCAGAAAGGAAACTCATCCAATAATTTTCTACCTAAATATGATCATATATCGAAGAAAGGAACTTTTGATGATGAAACAAAAGTTCGAATACCATCAACATTATTATATCATACAATCGGTAAGTTAAAACCATTTCTATTTGAACTTATGGGGGTTGGATGGCCGAATGGTTAGCACGTGTGTGCTGTATCATAAGGTCTGTCATTTTTAGTCAACTGGCGTGGTTTCGATTCCCCCCCGATGTTTGTGACAAGGAGTAGGGTCATCTGTTCGACCTTGTGGGTTTTCTTTGGGTCCTCCAGTTTCCTCCCACTGCTAAAGACCCCTACACTATAGTTAGTCCCGAAATGACCTAGTTTGTGTCAATTGGACTTAAACACACTCTCTCTCTCTCTCTCTCTCTCTCTCTCTCTCTCTCTCTCTCTCTCTCTCTCTCTCTCTCTCTCTCTCGTACTGTAGTTTACAAGGGATTAACAATCCCTCAAATAACGGTCAGTGAGTTTAAGATATCAAGATTGATACAAAAATCTAAATAAGGATAAACTGGTTGATGATAACAAGTTTGATATTAAACTATTGACCTATATATTTGTTTTCAGGATCTACAGACATGACCAATAAAATTTACACAGGTTTTGTTATGTATAAAACTATTGGTAATTTAATGGCTAAAAACTTCTCCTCCAATGTCAGGTAAGTAATTCTTCCTAATACTAAAAACACAAATGTTTTCATTAAACTGTAATGCATACTTATGGAAGTAAAATCACTAGTAGGTTTATAATGTTATTTGGTCACATGGTGCAGTCGTTCGTATGGGATGAAAAACCAAGGTCCCATGTACACATTGGCATGCATTTAAAAGAACCCTTGGCAGAATTCGATATACGAGTAGGCCATAGCCTTGTGAGCAGGCAAAATTTCCCTCACAGCACACTGTATGGCGTATGCCTGTCTTCATTAGCCCAGTTGGAGCAGAACAGTAGGACGTTAAACCCCATTTCATTTATTTGGTCATATTTTGAATCCGATTTTATAGACTAGTAATTGTTGTACTAAAAGTAGGGGTGGGGTGGTTGCGGAGTGGTCTAACACTGCACTTTAGATCATAAGACTTGTCATTGATTCCTATGGTGTGGTTTCGTTTGCAAGCTAGTATGTTACAAAGAGAAGTGTCGCCTCATGGTTTTTTTTTTCCACTTTCTAGAATTACCTCCCATTTCTTAAGACCCCTATATGCAAGCAAATTTATGGAAATATACCCATTTTCTCTCTCTCTCTGTCGTTCTCCCTATCTCTGTCGTTCTCCCTCTATAATGCACTCCCCAGTCACTAAAGGCCTCTAAAGATTATCATGTTTTTGTTTCTCTGGTTAATATTCGTCCAGATTTCTTTTAATGAAATAAATTTGCATCTTAAATTATTTGAAATTGAATTACAGAACTGAACGTCCAATCAGAATTAACAGTCCAGTAGTAACCGTAGTGATTGTAGATGAAGGTCGAACAATAAAAGGGAAATTAACCGAACCAATAGAAATAATATTCCGTCAGCTTGATTCCTCCAATCGTTCAAGTCCTCAATGTGTTTACTGGGTAACTGACAATAATGGGTGAGTAACTAATGTCGTATTGTAGACCTCTCTCGTTTGTAGTATGTTCATTCCACATGTAGTGGATACAGTTATCTCCCTTTAGTCCTCAATGCGTTTACTGGGTAACTGACAATAATGAGTAAGTAACTAATGTGGTATTATAAACCTCTCTCGTTCGTAGTATGTTCATTCCACATGTAGTGGACACAGTTACCTCCCTTTAGTTACTCATATAAAGAATAGTATAATAAATGATTGGCCTAGTTTTAAACTAGCTTCGTTAAAATACTGTGCTCCTGAAAAGGATAACAATACAACCCTAAAAAGATGCCTTTCTTGTTGAGTTAACATGGATTAACGGGTGAATGGTTAACCTGTGCACGTACGATCATTAGGTCTGTCATTGAATCAAGTGGCATGGTTTCGATTCCCCGCTTGTAGGTGACAAGGAGTAGGCCTAGTGTCGCCTGGGGAATTTTGAGTCGGTTGAATTTATTTCTGTTTTTATATATATTTGGACACTGTATATTTATGTCTGTGGGAATTTTGAGACGTTGAATAATTTTCTGTGTGTTTATATTTTAGTGAAAGTTTGTGGTCAACTGAAGGATGCAGTGTTAAAGACAGATACAGTAAAAATAACCATCGTTTTGTCGTCTGCTCCTGTACACATCTCTCAACATTTGCCGTTCTTATGGATGTTGCCGACCAAGAGGTAAAATTTTGTTGATATTATAATAACTATAGTTTCTTGAGAATGTAATAAAATTGAAATTCTCTGTAGTGGCATGTGTACAGTTTTTACTATCTCATTACAAGGAATCCCTCAGAATACAAGCTTTTGATTGTGTCACTCCTTCCTTCAGCAGACGGGGGCTGGGGGTGGGGGATTGGATGGCTGAATGTTCTACGTGACAAGGAGTAGGATCGCCTGTCCAACGTCGTGGGTTTTCCCCGGGTCCTCCAGTTTCCTCCCACTGCTAAAGACCCCTACATGCAAGCGATTTATTGAAATAAGATTCAACCATATGTTAATCCAGAAATGACTTAGTTTGTGTCGAGTGGATGTTAAACTCCATTTCTCTGTCTCTCTCTCCTTTAGCGGGCTAGGATTAGGATTCGATGTCACATCTGAATTTACAAATGACGTCCCCAACCCAAATGACATTAATAGAATTTATGTTGCAAAGATAACAAAAACAATTCCCATGAAATGTATAATACAGTGGGAAATCTTGGAAGAGAATCATAGAAAATATTGCATTGTTTATTATTGAAATGAATATTTATTATTTCAGTATCTTGCGACTAAGCCTGTTACCGTGGAGATATTGACCTACATTCTGACGTCTGTATCACTTATGTTATTATTTGTGGCGTTCTTCATCTTCATGTGTTTAAAACGACTACAATGTAACTGGAATTCCATCCACATCAACCTGATTGTAGTTTTATTTATCTCGGAACTGGCCTTCATTATTGGAATTAATCAAACAGAACCAAAAGTAAGTTTGAGTATTGGAGTCACGGTGGCTCAGTGAGTAGGACGTTGACTCGCTAACCTGGGGGTCCCTTGTTCGATACCGTCGTTGACCAAGAAAGATCATCAAGATTATCTGGCGTCGTTCCCCCTTGTCCGTGGTGCAGGAAGAAGAGCCTGGCAAAGGACAACTTATGGTCGTTTAGATGGGATGAAACCTGAGGTCCCGTGTATACATTTGCGTGCACTTAAAAGATCCCTGGACAGTTAGAATTTGATATAAGAGTAGGCCGTAGTGCCGCTATCTATGCAAAAATTCCCTCATAACACATTGTATGGTGAATGCCGTCTTCATTAGCCCAGTTCGGAGCAGAACAGTAAAGCGTTAAACCCCATTTCATTTCATTTTCGTTGTTGGCACTGTAGGGGATGCCGAATTGATCATATCTTTGTAAAATACTGAACAAAATTCTACCATTTTTGAATTGATAGCCCAGATTCAATATTCAATGTAATTGTTGTGTGGAATATTGTGCAATTTTCAATTTGTAATCTGTTTGTCAATACAGAACTATTTTTGGACTGATATTCCTTTTAGAGATTCAATTTTGAATGTAATTTCTGTTTTATTTACAGATATTTTGTCGACTAATTGCCATCACTCTACAGTATTTCTATATGGCATCGTTCTCGTGGTTATTTGTGGAGATATTACACATCTACAGAATGTTAACAGAAATACGAACAGTTAATTATGGTTCTATGAAATTCTACTACTTAATAGGATATGGTAAGATTATTCTAATTCTCTTCCGTATAATTTCTGTTCTGAATGCTTTGCGGACTTAGTAATTAGGAGAGGTTTTGGATGGTCGAATGGTTAGCACGTGTGTGCTGTATCATAAGGTCTGTCATTGAGTCAACTGGTGTGGTTTCGATTCCCCGATTGTACATGACAAGGAGTAGGGTAGCCTGTCCAACCTCGTGGGTTTTCTCTGCGTCCTCTGGTTTCCTCCCACTGCTAAAGACCCCTATGCGCAATCAAATTATTAAAATAAAATTGAACCATATGTTAGTACCGAAATGACGTATTGAGTGGACGTTAAACCCCATTTCTCCCTCTCCCTCTAATGCCCCTTTAAAGAGTTGTATTTTAGAATATATTAAATTGACCTTGTTATAGATCTATATATTATATAATTTCAGTAATACCAGGTATAATAGTAGGACTAGCTGTTGGTTTATATACAGATGGATATGGTAATAGTCAATTGTAAGTAAAACTAGCTCCTAAATTTCTTGAGATTTTCAAGTTTGCTTACCATGATGGAACCCAAGGAAGTCTCACTTGTCTTTAAAATAACGGGGGAAAGAACCCTGTAACAATTACCTTAAACATTCTAGCAGAAAAGTGGGATGTTTAACCCCATTACATTTCGTAAAACATTTGAATCATCTTCAGAAAACGATATGATTATATGTATTCAAAGGTACCAATTAATTGGTTAAATGTATGGGTGTGTTTCAATTATTTAGTTAATGTAGCCTCAGTGTGTAAAGTGCTGGATCACAAACCAGTTCCAGGGTTGGATTTTAGTGTTGGCCCTGAAAGTTCCTCAGGATTTTCCAGCCTAGGACAAAAATCTGATTTCCCATATATATCATGATCCCTTAATCAAAATAGGAGTAGACAATAGTGCCGCTGTTCTGGAACACTGTATGGAATATACCTGTGTTGATTATCCCAGGTGGGGGTCTAGTGGTCTGTCATTGAGTCAACTGGCATGGTTTCGATTCCCCAATTGTACATGACGAGGAATAGGGTCGTCTGTCCAACCTTGTTGGTTTTCTCTGGTTTCCTCCCACTGCTAAAGACCCCCTACATGCACATGAATTATTGAAATAAAATTATACCATAT